GTAGGCGTTTATAAAAAAGATGCCAATCTCCCTCTCCCGCCCGCCGGCAGACAAGGGGTTCAATGCTGCTTTGCTTTTCCCGCCCGTCAACAAGGGGGGGGGGGGCGCGGCGGCTGTGTTGGACAGGCAGGCTGAGCTCCAATGACCAGAAAGAGGACGACGTACCCCACGACCCTCCTCCGAAGGGCCAAAGCCCCCGCCCGTCTCTCTATTTCACGAGAACGATGAACGAATGACGCTTGGCAGACACTTCCGCCTTGAGCCACGGACGGTGGCGAGGAGCTCGAGCTAGCAATGCCTGAAAGCGGGGGAGGGGGTGCCAGCGCTCGTGACCCCACCCCCGGAATGTTGCCATGGGCTGGGCCTAGCCCTCCTCTTAGTCCACTCCGGCAAAGCCGAGGCCGCCCCCTCCCCCAACCGCCCTGCTCGAGAGCCCGTCTTCTCGCCCACTCCTTCACCTGAATAGCTCATGATGGCGTTGGCGGTCCCAGTACTTCCCAACGCCGCTTCTTCCCACCCGTTACCTCCTGCGCCAGACGGCAACCGTAGCTTGTTAACCCCGCCTCCCGACACTGTTAGCCGTGGTCACTTTCCCAGCCTGTCTTCCATTGGTGACTGCAACCGTCCGTCCCGCCCCCTTCCAGTTCTATTGGGCCATGGGGGCCCGAGTCTTCACAGATCACTCGACAAAGGAAACGTCCATCAGACCTACTGGTTAAGCGGTAGGCAATGAGGAATGTCAGTTTTTTGCCACCAGCAAATTACATCTGCCGCTCGATGTCCTCACGAGGATATTGGGTCTAAATTCTTATCACTCATTACAAGCGGATAAACGTCGGGTGCTAATTCGCGCACGCCGTCTTCTAGATTGCAGGGGGGCCGCTATTTCTTGCACGTCTTTCGATAGGAGGGACCGCTGAGTTCTCGTATTGGCTAGGATGAGCCCGCATTTTATCGGGAGCTGCGTGTCGTCGGATAACTCAGAGAGAGCCGGCTAGTTCAGAATATAACCTATTACGGGGCCAAGCGGGTGCGGTGTCCTTTTGTGCAGCGAGCTACCCCCCTTGGCTTTTGCAAGCTCTCTTCTTTGAAGAGCTAGGGCATCAATTCCCTAATTCACTGTAACCTGTGGCGTGTATTGAGATAACGAGGGAACAGCCATTAGGTGGTATCACAGGTTGAGCTGAAAGCGATTTCACCCGGGGATATAAGGAGGTCCAGCATCGCAGTGGGGATTGCAATACTGTAGCGCACATCCAGGAAACGTGCTTTGTGTAGGTCGGGCCCATCTTTATTGACTACTTGTAGGAATCGTTTGAGCGCCCCCTAATGCGGAACATCAGTGAATAGGCTCGGAGAAAATCTATCGATGCGGTCGCTAGGAGTCGAAAAAGACTTGATGGCACATAATCAATCAATCAATCAATGCAAAACATCAGTGAATACGCTGTTTGGTAGAAAAGAGTTTCCGCTCAAGGTACCGCGTGGATCATATTTCCTCTTACATGCCAAAAGAAACTGGCTAATCGATCCAATAGAACAGTTTATGTTGGATTAAACAAGCTAGTTGAGGAATCGTTACACAGATTTATCCCTGGATATATGCAAATTGAGATTAAAATTGATTAAAACCTTGAGTCGACTCCTGGTGACTTCACGGATATACCCATATTATATTCTTGACAGTAATATGGAACTGGTTTGTCATGGCTTTCTTCTAGGTTGTTTCAGGTTTGTTTTCTTATGCTACAACAGATCTGCAGACAGTCCTTTCAAGCCGAAGGGTTTCATTAGTCTGCAAATTTTAGCCTACTAACTACAATGAACATATAAAGTCATGGCTATCTGACATAGAAAATAGCTCTTGGCAGTGAGCTAAAGGCTACTGCCTTTTGGTTAGGTTGCCTCTGCAATACAGCGTACTGCAATGCAGTATTGTTCTCTAATAATGAAACACCCCTTGAAAGTCTGGCTAAATCTTGCTAAATCTGATTCAGGCTGTAAGCAGGGGCTCTGAAGTGTGAACTGACAGCCTTCAAATATTGGCTCTCTTTTAACCTCCGGCATTGCTTCCTGTTGAGGCCCTACGTTTTCAATATAAGACTATGGTATTGCCACAGAATGACATCCAAACAAAACCAGCAGAACTACTAGCAGGTGGCCGCATCTGGCGGACCATGGCCGGGCTCTAATGGCCTTGTTAGTACAGTGTTCAAAAGGGAGAGTATGAGGGAATTCCAGAGACACAGGTTACACAGGGACATTAGGAAGCAAAGCAAAGCAACCCCCCCCCCATCTAGAAGAAAGCAATGACAAACCACTACCATATTATTGGCAAGAAAACTACATGGATGTGTCGGTGAAGTCCCCAGAGGTTGACTCTACTTTGAATAGGATCAGGTCTGGATTTCATCTTTCTATAAAAAGATTGCTCTGATATTAAAATATTTATTTTGAACATTAATGTATAATTGTATCACACCAGGCAGAATGCAATTTTGTAGTGATATTAAATTCTGATTTTTGATCTAACATAGGGCAAAACAACAACTAATGTTTAGCATTCACTTTGTGATTCTAATAATATTTAATTTCAAAAACTGAGTAACACACCTGTACCTCTGTGTTTACATCAAGTAAAATGTGCATAATAGAATTAACTGAACAAGTTCCTTTTGTGACCATATTTGAAAACTAGTTTTTCTCAATATTTGATGCTTCATAGTTGCTAATTAAAGTATCCCAGATTCTTAAAATGGGGGATTCTTTCTATTCACAAACTCAAGAATCAGGGTTTGGAAGATTAGAACAAATATAAGATTAAATGATAAATGAGTAGGTGCTTGAGACCTAATGCTGTAAATCTGTTCTGTCTTTATCAGTCTCATGTCTTCCTAGATTTGTTAAATAAGTTACTTGTGAACAAAATTAAAAGTAGATTATATTTTTTTACAGAACTATCAAATGTGATTTCTGTTGATATTTGAAAAATCTAATTTACCAGTGATCTTTTGTTAAGATAAAAAATTAGTTTTCCTTCTTCTGAAGTCCACTATAAAAGGGCCTGTGCATTTCACCTCAGGATGAAGTTAGTATTAAATGGCAGTTGGATTTTATATTTTTGAAAATGGGGATCAATGTCATGGATTGTATTACAGGCTAAGCCACAATTTGGTTAACATATGTTGTATAAACATAGTTGGGTTTACATAATCTGTGAAATCTGAAACCATAGTTTACAAGCCATAGTACCAGCTTCACACAATAGATTATCTAAAACCAAACACACTATTTTCTGGATTTGTATGGTTTACAACCTCAGTGTTTTTATCTAGTTAGACCTTGGGAGAGTCCTAGTTCTGGATGTAATTTCAAACAATCTCACCATCCTGAGGATCCTCCCTCACTACTGGCAGTTGGATGGAGTTACCAGGATTTTTATTTCAATAAATTTGAGAGATCATACCTTTTATTATCCTTAATTAGAATGTTTGTAGCCCAATCCTATATCCATCTTAAAGCTGACTGAACAACTCCATGGTTTCAATTCTATTTTTTCTTCTCCATTTTTTTGTTTTTATCATCTCATCTGATGAGAAGTTCTGAAAAACTCAAGTTGATCTAATAAGACATTTCCCTAATATGTATTTTAAAACAGTGGATTTTTTAAAAAAATGTAAGTGGACTGTTCATAAAAATATGTCACATTGTAACAGTGAAGAGAGTATCAATTAAAAAAAATAACATTATACTAACAGTAATTCATGAAAAACTTACCTAGGTCCAACAATGTGACTAACTGTAGTTTCTTTAGTAAAGCATTATGTGTGAATTCAGCTACTGTGGACTGGTGATTAAATCAATCCATGCTGTAGTGCACTGAAGCAAGTCTCCCTTTTTAAACATAGTTGTGTTTTCTCTAGTGTGCTACAGGCTTTTTCCAGGCTCTGGTTCCAGATTGTAATTAAACCTATATCCTAGGGCTACTTCTTTATTAGATTTATTAAGCCACTAAATTGAAAGCACTCAGGGTGACTTACATTAAAAAAATCAGTTCAAACAATCAGAATACAAGAGGTATAAAAATTAAATGATGCTATAGAGAAATACATAAAAAAAATTCAGACATCACTCAGTATGATCACACAACACTTCAGTTCATGGCCTGTTTGAAAGCCAGTGCCTTTCTAAAACCGAGCAGGATAAATGGGGCTGAACAGAGCTCTGGAGAATGTTTTCCAGAGGCCAGGAGTGACAATAGTGAAAGCATACCTCTGGAATCCAGATGGCATTGTTTAACTGAAAGGACCGAAAACACGTCCACCCTGTCAGATCTTATAGGCCAGGCAGAGGTAACTGGAGAAAGGTGGTACTGAGCCATGTACGGCTTTATAGATGACAACCAGAACCTTGAATTACACCTGGAAACACAGTATCTGAGGCTATAAATCTGAGCTGCAAAAATCCAAAGGATCACAAAATGGCAGAAAATAGTTTGCAGTCTTTTTCCTGGTATCTAATGGTCATCCAGAAGTTTGTATCCCAGATCTGGCAGCCCTATTGCCTCCTGTATTCTGATAACTGTCTCATGGTACAGGTAGTCCTCAACTTACGACCACAATTGGGACCAGAACTTTTGTCGCTAAGCGATGCGGTCGTTAAGTGACTCACGCCCAATTTTACCTTTTTTGCCACAGTCGTTAAGCAAACAACCATGTCATTAAGTGAATCACATAGTCATTAAGCAAATCTAGCTTCCCGCATTGACTTTGCTTGTCAGAAGCCCCCTGGGAAGGCCGCAGACGGTGATCACGTGACCCCAGGACATTGCAACCATCATAAATATGCCAGTTGCCAAGCACCCAAATTTTGATCATGACTGCAGGGACGCTGTGACGGTTGTAAGTGCAAGGACCAATCATAAGTCACTTTTTTCAACACCATTGCAACTTCAGTTGTTAAATGAATGGTTGTAAGTTGAGGACTACCTGTACTCCTTTCCTGTTCATCAATCCTAGTCATGCATGCTAATATTTGTACTCATACCTATGTACGCTGTGTGCCCAGTCTTCTGAAAAAGCAGCCTCAGCCAGTTAAATACTTCTGAGCCAAATATTTAAGATCAAACAAATCTATTTATGGGTTGAAGTGTATTTAATTAAATCATATTGTATTGTTCTTCATACACATTCTTCTTGTCTTCTGATTCCATTAATCTGAATTTACTATTTGAATTCATTTTTTCTACTAATGGTAGAAACTAAAGGTATAAAAATGTAGCCTGACACCTTCACTTAAATTTTGTTTTTTTATTATGCTTAATTTCTTCTATTAATATACCATTAGCCAAGTTTTAGAGAAACTCCTGCAGTAGTATCTGAATGGAGTTGGGTAACCCCATATTGGCACATCATTACAACGTTTTTCTCTGACTGAAGGAACTCTATTATATGAATCTTTTATCAGTTATCTGGAATTTCCAAGGTTGGAGAACTGATCTTTGTGTTTCTTGACTACATCCTTGTGGGAAAGTATATTTGTTCCCTTAATAAAGATC